AAAAAAAAAAATTCTCAATGAATTCTCTATCAAAAAAAAAAATCCTGTTAAACAAAATTATTCCAACAAATTAGGTATATGTCCAAAAAAAAAAATCTTACTAAAAAAAAATTCTCCAATGAAATTTAACGAAATTATCCATTAAAAAAAAAATTCAGAAATGTAAAAAAAATTCTCTAACAAAATTTTTTATCAAAAAAAAAAAGTAAAAAAAAATTTCCAAGAAATTATATCAAAAAAAAGTCTTTGCCTATATTAAAAATAAATAAATTGTTTTATAAAAAAAAGCAATAAAAAAAAAAATTATTCGCGTAAAAATTTAAAAAAAAAAATAATTCGCGTAAAATTTAAAAAAAAAAAATTTAAAATTACGCTAAACTTAAAAACACGTGATTGACCCTGTGCTGACAAAGAAACTAATTTTTGACGAGATAAAATTATCAAGTATAGTTAGATTACGTGCTTGATATTTTTATCCGTTCATGCTTCCAACTGTATTTGATTTAAAGATAAATATCAAGCACGCGACAGATGAAAATCGGGTAAAATGTCAGACACGGGCTTGCCATATGTGTGGTTTTTTACGTCGGTGAAACATCGTCGATCAACGTACACCGGAATTTATATAAATATGTATTCTATTCGTTTATTTTTCCCCCCTATTTTTTTTTTTTTTTTTCCAAAGAAAAATGGCCAGACTTAATAAGGATATCCTTTTCTTGGTGTTTGAAGAATTACAAGATAATGCAAAATTTCTCTTTTCATGCTTAATGGTTAATAGAATTTGGTGTGAAACCGTAATTCCAATTTTATGGAAAAACCCCTGGCGCTATACTATTAATTATTATAATAAAAAATCTTTATATTCAATTCTTACTTCTTACTTATCCAATGATATTAAAGAAACCTTAACAAAGAAAGGAATTAAAATCTCAAGTCAATCACTTGCATTTGATTATTTGTCTTTCTGTAGGAGTATCAATATAGAAATTATAGATGATATAATTTCTATTGGACCATTATTAGAATATAATCGATTTCTTTTACAAGAACAAATTTATAGTTTCTTGATAAAGAAATGTCCAGAAATAAAGTATTTAAATGTATGTGGCACCTATGAGATACTACATCTTCCAGAAGCAAAATTCCGCCTTGAATCAATATATGAATTAACGTGTGACACATTGATTAATCCTAGGTATTTTTACAGATTAGCACATATATGTCAACAAGTACAAAGAATCATCATTGTTAATAAAAATTTAAAAGCTAATTCTGGAACTACTAAGTTAATCGAATATCAAAAAAATTTGAAATATTTTGAATGGGTAGACGAATTTGAAGTAGAAAATGATATGTATTATTATTGGGAAATGTTAGAAGATCCTTATACAGAAATTTTTAATGCAGTAAAGAAGCATGCGAATACTCTTAATCATTTTCAGTTTGAAAATTCTTCCGATAATTACAACGATAATGGTGATTATACATTTCTACAAGACGCACTCCTAGAACTTCATAATTTGAAAACATTAAAAATTAGTTCTCCTCTATTTTCAAATAATGATAATTTTAATAAAAAATTGGAAATGGTGGCTTATCGTAACCTTGAGTTTATAGAAATAGATTTTATATATATTTACCAAGTTAATTACATAATTAAAAATAGCTTATTTCTTAGAGAATTGAGGATCAATTGTTTTTACGTAGAAAAAGATACTTTTAATGATGATTCTTTTAATTTTATTCGTACAATTTATGAGAATTGTTTTTTAATTGAATATTTAACAATTCCTATGTTTCCATTATTTGAAACTTACTTTATTGAATTTGAAAAATTACTTAAAAAATGTCAGAATTTACGATCTTTATATTTTAAAAAAGAATATTATGAAAAAGGGAAAAACTTAGAATATGGGGATTACTTATCAAATGTGTTAACTAAAGAAGCATCAATAAATCTGAGACAAATAGGAATTCCTCATGGCATTAGGTTTTCTTTAGAAACTTTGGAGGCATTCCTTGAAAAATGGAAAGGACGACCTGCAATTTCCATTTTTTTGGTTGAGTTTTATATTTATCAGACTGATTCATATATGAAACTGGTCAATAAATATAAGATTGATGGAGTAATTAAAGATATAAACATATAGATAATTCAATTGTATATTACTGAGGGAATTACTCATTTTAAATAATAGACTACAATTTTCATTTACGGTATAAAATTTATATATCTTTGTATTATGATTTACGAGAACAATTTAATAAATGATTTTCATCTATAACCGAATAAATCTCAGTTTCTATTTTTATGAATAATATATTTTTTGTTTAACAACTAAATTCTTTTCAAAGTATGATATAAATCAATTTAAACTTTCATCTTACGGTTAATTTATTTTGAACCATAATATTTTATTTCGAATGTACCCCGGGTATTGGGTTATTATCCTGTTCTACGATTTGCTCAAAATGTGACACATTTGATCATTATTATCCTCAAAAAATTATTTGTTTATTTATTTATAATAAATTTAGGAATTTTTCTAACTACTAACTATCATCGATCACCGGTGACTGAAATTATGACGATCGACCAGCATTAAAAAAATATAGTGCCGGTAAAAATTGATAATTCTGGTCAACGGTGATGATCAATTAAAAAAAATTAGTAACGCGTTTATTAATTATGATTATTAAAATTTTACAAACACCTAGAAAATTATACAATTATATAATCCTCTATAACTAACCGATCTATCTAAATACTATATAAAATGTAACTAGATAATCAATCATAATAAAACTAAATTATAAAATTTAACTATATATTTTAACCTTCGTTCCCCAATTGTTCTTAAAGGATCTACGATTCGTTACATCATCTAAAAGATTATTTCTCGTTACTATTTTTTTATAGTTTTTTCATTTAATCTATTTTCAGTTGTTTTTTCAATTTTTCTTGATTTTTTATTATTAATTCTATCGCCCTCCTCTATTCTTTTTTTCCTTTTTAAGATCTATACCTCTATCTTTCTCTATCTCCGCCACTTCATCGCATCGTTTAACCCAGATTCTCGTTCTATATTTATCATAACAAAAGCTCCACAAATGTTCTATCACATTCTTGTATTCTTTTTTCTTCGATATCTCATCAAACTTTCTATTATATACACCTCGCAAAAGTTCCCATATTCTACTATAACCTAATAAAATATCTGATTGAGTTAACATTGTTTCATAAAATTTATATTAATATCTCGTAATATTTCCACTTCTTCTTTTTTATCATCTGATATTAATATTTCTTCATATTCAGCTATTGCTTCATATAACATTTCTTCTAATTCAACTTCATCTTCCAAACATGATACCAATCGATCTCATTATTGCATCTTGGACACACTGCATCTACTATTTCATTAACTTTTCTTTGATATAAAACTCCATAAGTTGGTAATTCTTTCAAAAAAATTTTAATTTTATATGATCTCATCTTTGTATCTTCGTAGCTAAACTGCCAAAAAGTGTATTACTAATAAAGTTAAGCGTCTTAACCCAATCGAATTCATTTTTAAAATTAAGATAAGACAGTACTTCTATCTTTCTGCTATTGAGAAGTTCATTTTTCCAAATACTGTAACTTGCGTACATTTCTTACGTCATCCTCTTAGATCGCCAGTTATCAATACATATTTCCAAAATAAATTGAATTCATTGATCGTTAACGCTTCATCCATAACATTAATTTCATAGGTTTCAAAATTTTCTTTCTTCATTAGTTCTAAAAGTTTTCTAATTTTTCCCTTCTCTTCTTTTATATTTTCCAATTCTGAATGCTTGAGAATATCTAATTTCAAATCCTCTTCCTTTAAAAATTTTTCAATCGCCAGCATTTCTATACAATACTCTTCGTCTATCCTTTTTCTATTACTAAGATTTTTCATAAAATATCTTCTGACTTTCTCATCAATTCCTAAAAGAATATCACTCCCTTTTTCTATCAAAAGTATTCCTATTATTATACATCTTATTAAAATTTTAAATTCATCTTCTTTCGTAACTTTAAATTTCGCATTTATCCTTATCTCATTTTTCTCTCTATTCCTTAATACCAAACTCACCAAATATTCTATATGTTTATATCCTTTTTCTAATACTTTTATTTTCCCTTTAACGCACTCTATTATTAAATAAGTTTGCCTTTTACTCTTATCTCTTTCATCCGTTTCTATTATATTATTTTTTTAATATATCGATAAATCTTGATCTGCTTTTATTATTTCGATCCTTTCAGTTTTTTTATTATAGTTCATATATTTTTCTTCCTCTATCACATATTCTTTCAAAACTTCATTTTTCATTTTTATGTTTCTGTGTCACCCCCGGTGACTTGAAGTAAAAAACAAAATTTAATATATTAAATATTTTAATATTCAATAATATATATACACTACCCGGCAAAAAGTCAGTAGGCAACTGTAAATTTCAATAATCGTTACGAAAATATCCTTCTATATAAAGTTTAATTTTTTAATAATTAACCCGTCTTTTGTATAATAAGTAAAGTTAATCATCTAGTTGAATTGTGCTTGTTCTAAAAATTACATGAATTTTTGGAAAAATTTGATTGAAATATTTTATATTTATCAAATAAATCAGATTTTAAATGGAATTATTTGAGTATAACGTAACATGAAAAAATTTGTTTTACCATACTTCATTTTTTAAATAAAAATGTTTATCGAAACTTTTAGCATATTATTACGAAGTATCATCAAAATCAATGAAATGATCAACAAGTTATATTCATTTGACTGAATTTGCCGATCATTTATCGATCATTACCAAATTAACTACCAAAATTTTAGCATTAACTAATGAATTAAATTCGGCCCAATTTTTTTTATGAAAACTTGAGATTTTGATTATTATTTCTAACTTTTTTTATTGAAACCAGAACTCAAGCTCATAATTTGTTCTTTAGTTAATATCTTGTAAAAAAACTAATAGGTGCAAGTCATCTTTGTTAAATATGTGTAACTTACAGACTATTTCGCTGATTTTGAAGATACTTTGCAATAATATGCTAAAAATTTTGATAAACAGTTTATTTAAAAATGAAGCGTAAATTAAGCAAAATTTTTTTAATGTTATATTATACCTAAATACTTGCCGTTAAAAATCTGATTTATTTAATAAATTATAGAATATTACAATCAATTTTTTTCAGAAGCTCATGTAATTTTTAGAGTAGGTGCAATTCAACTCAATGATCAACTTCACTTATTACACAAAGGACAGGTTAATTATTAAAAAAAAAACTTTATTTAGAAGGATATTTTCGTAACGATTATTGAAATTTACGGTTGCCTACTGACTTTTTGCCGGGTAGTGTATATTATATATAAAAAATTTTTTGAACTAAAACACAATTTCTATTCATAAATATTTAATTTAGTATAATTTACTGTCCAAGTATTCCCAAACCTATTGAAAAATTCTAATTTATTTGGCAAAACTCAGTAATATTTTAGCTAAAGATCTTTAAATTATTCTGAAAAAATAAAAAATTTATACGCGCACTAAATTCAATCGTAAAAAAAAAAAAATAACTTTAATTATTCAATTAAAGCCAGTTTTCCTTGACCAAAGTACTTAAATTAAAATTACGCCATAAAACACTGTATGAAAATATTACTATAAATATTGAGTATAGCTTTCTTTGCTAGCAATCACCCGTTGCTTTACACCGGGACCAATGAGTTTGTTTAAATAGAAAAATTTAGTATATTAAGTAAATTAAAGATAATTACAGTAGTTTTTTGTTTATAATTAGGAATTTAATTAGGTCTTTTGGTTCTTCTTTGTAACTATTAAGGTATGTTTTTATTTTTTTGTTTTTGTTAATTTATTACATGTAATTTCCGTTCCCTACTAACTTTATTTCTTCTTTTAATTTATGGGTTTAGTTTTTACTTGGTCTCCCTGTTTATCTCATTTCGTCCCTTCTCCATTTTTTTGTTTTCTTTTTGTCTCTTCATTTCTTTTGCTCTTTTTATTCTTCCCTTCCTTCATTTTTTCCATTGTTTTTTATTTCCTCTTCGTTCCTTTCGTCTTTTTCATTCCTTTACACTACCCTTCGTTCCTTTCATTTTTATTCCATTCCCACTTCATCTTTTTCGTTCCTTTACACTAATGTTCTTTACATTTTTTTTTCCATTCCCACTTCTCTTTACACTACCCTTTGTTTCTTTCATTTTTTTATTCCCCTTTGCTCTATTTCGTCCCCTCCATTCTTTTCATTTTTTTCATTAGTTCCCACTTGATCTTTTTCGTTCCTTTTGTTTCTTTCACTCCTCCTTTCCCTTTTACTCTCCCTATTTTTTCATTCACCCTCATTTTTTGATTAATTTTTTAGAAAATATTTTCGAAAAAACTTAATATTACAAATATTTTTATTAATTAATTATAAATTTTATAATTATTTCTTATTTTATATTACGTCAATCTTAAACTTATAACCAACTTAGGAAAAATATTTGAAATAATTAAATGTATTAGAATCTATTCATTTTATTTATTATTATTCATTTTAATCGATAAATTATTAATTTAACTAAACCATTTGAATTAAAATCTTTATTCAAAAATCTGGAATTCGAATATGGATTTGGTTATAATAATCTATTATTAAATCAACAATCTCTTCAAAAAGAATTGATATTTTTACATATTTTATAATTAATTAATTGATTTTTATGAATTTAAAAAATCAAACTATTTATCAGCAATTGAAAAAATCTTACTATCAATGTCGGTCAATTTTCCTATATCTGGTATGTTATATTGATTTTTTTAAAAAAATAATAATTTTGTAAATATATTTAATATAATATTTTATCTTTTATTTAATAATAAAAAAAATTTAAAAAAAATTTGGAGGGAAAGAAAGAGGATAAAGAAAGAAATCAGTTTTAAAAAAAGGGAATCCGAAAAAAAAATAAGTACGAAAAAAATCTGAAAAAAAAGACAATAATCCAATCCAAAAAGAGTGAAAAAAAAAATTTTTTTTAAAAAAAATAACAATACGGTCTAAAAAAAAAAGATCGAAAAAAAAATAATATAAAAAAAATTGGTCTTAAAAGACCGAAACAATGGGGATTATTTAATAAAAAAAAAAAAAATTTCAGTTTGGGGAAAAAATTAAACCTAAACGGGAAAAGAATGAAAAAAAAACAAATTTTTCGGTTTGAAAAGAAAAAATTTTTTTCGGTCTGAAAAATTTTTTAAAAAAAATTGATTAATAATCAAAAAAAAAAATTCCGATTACGGGTTTTAATTATATGGCATGGGATTTCAAGTTACACAATTCAAATTATTTATACGGAAACGTCAGACAAATTTTTTTGGTTATATAGATGAATATGCAAACTAGCTTGGTAAAAATTAACATTGTACTTTCTTCTTGCTAAATAACTTTGTTTATTTAATAAATGTCATTTTATTTTGGCTAAAGTAAATGAAATTTCTTTATAAAAAACGTGTATTATATATAAAAAAAGTTGGGAAAATATTTTCAGCTTTATAAACAATACCTACTATAAGCCATTGCATAATATTTAGTTCTTTTGAAAAGATATTTTGAAATAAAAAAGAAAAGGAAAAAAAAGAAGAGGGAAAAGAAGAGGGAATGAAGGAGAAAAACAACGTGCACCGTGCATATGTATAAACAATGAACAAATAAAATTTTACTGATAATGCTGAGGCTGAGGCTGATGATGTTACGGTACATTTCGCTGAAATCCATTTTACCGAAACCATTTCGTTGAAGCCATTTCGCCAAAGGAATGTTTCACCGAAGTGCATTTTATCAAATCCATTTCATCGAATCATCCATTTCGCCAAATTCTATTTCACCAAATCTCATTTCGCTAAATGGTCATTTAGCCGAAAATAGTAGCGATCAACATTTTTATAAAAAATATTCATCACACAATGAAAATAAAAATTAAATTATTTTTAGAGATTTTTTTTTTCCAGGATATTATCACTTTAACATTCAAGTAACTGATATTAATTGTTACTAAGCAATAAATAAATAGCTCTATCTTCCTGAAAACATTTAACATTTAAGATAATTTAAAATTTCTAGAAAAGATTTATTTAGGCATTCAATGTGGCGAAATGTCCACTCGATAAAGTGGCTTCGACGAAATGTAATTCGGTGAAATGGTATCTCGGCGGAACGTCCTTTCGGTGAAATATCCCTTCGGTGAAATATCCCTTCAGCAAAATGGCTTCAGCGAAATAGGTTTCAGTGACAAATACAGACAAGTATCTACCCCAGTATTGCCAGAAAATTTTTTCAACCCCACGTGACTTTGGCCGGCATTATGAGATTTGGCTGGAATTAAGAAATTAACCATGTGTCGAATAACGTGTGATGAATAGGATTTTAGACACCGAAAAAAATCTGTCCCCAGAATACTTATAAAAAATGAGAAAGTGGAGGGATGTGACACAGGTGACAAATTATTTAGGGTCACGTGGGGTGAAAAAATTTTCTGGCGATACTGGGGAAGATCAGACAAGTCATATGGTCACATGATACACGTTTGTGATCTACATAACTGTGTAACTATTGTAAGTCTATTCCGGCGAAACACCTTATGGTCGTACACCAGAGCTTTGTATAAATACGCAACATCATTTTTTTATTCATTCTAATTCGTATGTTTTTTTTCTCCCCTATTATTTTTTTCTTTTTTTGAAGAAAAATGTCTAAGCTTAATAGAGATATTCTTTACTTGATATTTGAGGAATTACAAAATAATTCAAAATTCCTTTTTTCATGCCTAATGGTTAATAGAATTTGGTGTGAAACCGTGATTCCAATTTTATGGAGGAACCCTTGGTACTATGCTATTAATTATCATAAAAAAAGTTCTTTATATTCTATTCTTACTTCTTATTTATCCAATGATATTAAAGAATTCTTAACAAAGAAAGAAATTAAAATTTCAAACCAATCACTTGCATTTGATTATTTGTCTTTCTGTAGAAGTATCGATATAAAAATTATAGATGATATAATTTCCGTTGGATCACCATTAGAATATAATCGATTTCTTTTACAAGAGGAAATTTACAGTTTATTAATAAAGAAATGTCCAGAAATAAAGTATTTGAAAATACGTGGTATCTATGAGATAGTATATCTTTCAGAAGAAAAGTTCTGCCTTGAATCACTTTGTGAATTAACGTGTGACACATTGATTAATCCTAGGTATTTTTACAGATTAGCGCATATTTGTCAACGAATACAAAGAATCATCATTATTAATAAAAACTTAGTAAAGGTTAATAATGGAACTACTAAGTTAATTGAATTTCAAAAAAATTTAAAATATTTTAAATGGGTAGATGATTTTAATGAAGATAGTTATTGGGAATTATTTGAAGATCCTTATGCGGAAATTTTTAATGTATTAAAAAAACATGCAAATACTCTTAATCATTTTGATATAAACCTTCGTTATGAGTATGAAGATTATTCAGATTATTACGATATTTACAATGAATGTAATTATGCATTTCTACAATATACACTCCTAGAACTTCATAATTTAAAAATATTAGAAATTAATTCTCCTATATTTTTAAATAACGATGATTTCAATAAAAAGTTGGAAATGGTGGCTTATCGTAACCTTGAGATCCTAGAGATAAGTTTTATACATCATATTTATCAAATTACTTGCATGGTTAAAAATAGCTTATGTCTTAAAGAATTAAGGGTCATTGCTTTTCACTGGAATTATGGTAATATTTATAATGACTCCCTTAATTTTATTCGTACAATTTATGAAAATTGTCTTTTAATTGAATATCTAACAATTCCTATGTTCCCATTATTGGAAAATCACTTTATTGAATTTAAAAAATTACTTAAAAAATGTCAGAATTTACGATATTTATATTTTAAAGAAATATATTATGAAAAGTGGGATGATTTAGAATATGGGGATTACTTATCAAGTACGTTAATTAAAGAAGCATCAACAAATCTAAAAAAAATAGGAATTCCTCATGGCATTAAGTTTTCTTTAGAAACTTTGAAGGCATTCTTTGAAAAATGGAAAGGACGACCTGCAATTTCCATCTATTTAGTTGATTTTCATAGTTATCAAACTAATTCATATATGAAACTGATCAATAAAGCTAAGATTGAAGGTGTAATTAAATATATAAATGTATAGATAGTTCAATTGTATTACTGAGGGAATTACTCATTTTAAATAAAAGACTATAATTTTCATTTGCGGTATAAAATTTATATATCTATGTATTATGATTTACGAGAACAATTTAATAAAAGATTTTCATCTATAATCGAATAAATCTCAGTTTCTATTTTATGAATAATATGTTTTTTAATATCTTATATTATATTATGAATTTATCCCTTAATTATTGTTTAACAATTAAATTCTTTCAGAGTATGATATAAATTTTCGTCTTTAACTCGAACTTTGTAAGTCATAATATTTTATTTTAAATGTAATAATTTTACTATTTGGTTTGTAATGGTTAGCCAATTTATAGTGATTTTTTGCTATTAATTGAAAAGTTTATCCTATGAATATTTTTCAATCCATCTTGGTACAATTAGCATTGATTGTAATATGATAACTGTTATTTATAAATTTTTTAGTCGTAAATCAACTTTAAAAAACTCAATAAAATTCAATAAATTGGATAATAAAAATTCCCTTTTAATGAGGCTGAACCATTAAAATTTTAAGGCGTGGAATAATAGAAGCATTTTAATAAAATTATTTATAACTCTCATTTATTGAACTTTGCCCCATTGGTCTATCCATATTTACATATAATAATCCCCTGTCACTTAAAAATTGCGAGTGATTAGCTGAGTACTCCCTATAAGAAATATGTACATGGAAAGGATACATTTCTATAGATTCCATATACAAATTCCGTATATTTAATAAGCAATTCATTTTTGAACATTTTTTAAAAAAACTAATGTATACGAAAAAAATTAATCATGCGGAATGTATACGGAATTTTTTAAAAAATCCCATAACATGAGATCACGTGATTGTTTATTGATTTGTTATGATAAACCCTTACTTTAATGAGTTTGATCTTCTGATCTTCCTTTCTGTCTTTCCTTTCCTTTCTCTTATCTCTTGTCTTATTTTTGTTATTTTTTCTAAAATTTTCTTCATCACCTCCCTTTTAAAAAAAAAATTTTTTTTTCATACCTCACTTTAAAAANTTATAATTTTGTATTTTAATAAAGAATTGGATTTAATGGATGCGATCAACGAATCTATAAAGTTACACAACATAGTACATGGATTATGGATAAAGAAACAAACTGATTTTATTGACAACAAAGGAGAACTGCAAGAACATATTGGAAGATTGAATTGTCAGAATAAAGCCTCAAAATCAAACGTTTAAATGGAGTGGGAATAACAAAGTGGGACATCTGATTTCGCTCTGTTGAGAATGCATAAACAATGGAGGTAAATAAAAACAAATAGAGAAAAAGGAAAAGAAAAATAAAAATTAAAAAAACACGTTAAAATAGTTAAAATTGATTTAAAAAATATTAGTTTAGTAAATAAAACAAAGGATAGCGTATTCAGATTAGTTAGTTTAGAATAGATTAGCATAGCGTTATAGTAGTTTAGTTAATACATAATTTTACTCGAAGTATTATAGTATCATTGGTTGTGTAAAATCATGCCCTGGTTAACTAATTCCTTGGCTTTGATATGAAGAGATTTAATAGCTTTATGTTGTTAAATTTCAATGTATTTTTGTTTTTGAAAATTTATTATGTATTATGATATGGCCTGCCGTAAGCACAAAAAGTATATACAAAAGTTATTATCTGAATATACAAAAGTTATTATTTGAATATACAAAAGTAATCATTTGAATATACAAAAATGTATATTCAAATAACAACTTTTGTATATTCACATGTATTAAAGCTGTCTCTTATACACATCTAGATGTGTATAAGAGACAGGTACAGTACAATATGACTTGCCAATCAAGCGAGTCTTAATTATAAAGAACATGGATCAGCAAATTATATAGAATATAGATGTTGTGCCTCAGATCGATTCTTGCCTCAGATTGAAGCTCACGCACCTCAGATTGAGATTGTCATCTTGACGCACCTCAATTGCTAATAAAAATGAGCTATAATTAAACATCAAAATTTCCAATTTTAATGTATTTTTAAGTACTAAGTAAACTTATTTATCCTTATTTTAAGTATACAATCCTATAATTTCAGATTAATTGGAATCATACTCATTAAATCTTTTCATCTGAAAAATGACTTAAAATTTAACGATTTTTCAGATAAAACACAAATATAAACTTCAATATAAATTGGATTTACATAAATATTTCAGGAAACATGTAACTCATTATGGCGCACAAGTTTGTTTATGTTACAAAAAGTGGTTTAATTAATGAGAAAAAAAGTTTATTTATAACAGACTTTATTGAATGATTCAAATGAGATGCGTCAGGTGACAATCTCAATGTGAGGTGCGTGAGCTTCAATCTGAGGCAAGAATCGATCTGAGGTACAACATAGATATAGGAGGGGAACTCTTTTCGGCGATCTCAGATGTGTATAAGAGACAGATAGTAAACTGTAATACAAATAGTAAATTTAGTGACCAAATTGTATAAATTTCGTGATAAAATCAGTGATTAAATCATGTAAATTCCATATGAATCCCATGCAAATTCCGTATCCAAACCATATTTTTAGTGATACAGAATTGTGAATTTTTCTGTATCCTATTATGATACGTTATTTCTAAGGAAAAAAATCATATGAAAACTTTATAAAAAATGTATCCAATTTTTTTATAGGGACTTATTTCCTGGACTCTTATAGATAACCGGAAAATTACTAATTTTAGTTTAAAATAGTTTTTAGTGAGTGACATGCTCCAGAGGATTACCCATTTATTTCATGACAAGATTAATGTTAGGATTTTTTCCCTTCGGGAAAAAAACCCTATTATTTTTTGTTTTTTTGTTTTTTTAATTTCTAGTAACGTATTTCTTATTTATTAAGAATCAAAGATTACATAATTATTAAAATACCTAGAAAATTATTAATATAATTAATAATCCCCTATAACTAAATATAAACTATCTACAAAACAAAAAAGAACTATACTAAGACCAATCTAACCAGTTTTAAGCATTGAATCACTAATCGGTATCAAGCTTAATAATAGACTAACATAATTATTTATTTATATTTTTTATTTCCTTTGCTCCATTTCGTCCCCTCCATTCTTTTCATTTTTTCATTCCCACTTGATCTTTTTCGTTCCTTTGGTTTCTTTCACTCCCCTTTGCTCCATTTCATTTCTCCCCCTTTGTTTCTTTCATTCCATTTTACTCTCCTTATTTTTTCAAACACTTTTATTTTTTGATTAATTTTTTATTAATTATAAATTTTATAATTGTTTATTATTTCTTATTTTATATTGCGTCAATCTTAAACTTAAAAAAAATATTTGAATAAATAAATGTATTAGAATCTATTTATTATTATTCTTTTGGTACTTAATTTAACTAAACAAGAATTAAAATCTTTATTCAAAAATCTGGTAGTTATTTAGAGCATTACGGATATGGATTTGGTTATAATAATCTATTATTAAATCAACAATTTCTTCAAAAAAAATTGATATTTTTACATATTTTATAATTAATTAATTGATTTTATGAATTTGAAAAATCAAACTATTTATCCAGCATTCAATTTAATTGAAAAATCTTACTCATCCTTCTATCAATGTCAGTAAATTTTCCTATATCTGATATGTTATATTGATTTTTTTTAAAAAATAATAATTTTGTAAATATATTTAATGAAATATTTTATTTTTTATTTAATAAAAAAAAATTTATAATTTTTTCAGATTGGGAAAAAAATTAAACCTAAACAGGAAAAGAATGAGAAAAAACAAATTTTTCAGGTTGAAAAAAAACTAAACTACTAAACTGAAAGAAAAGGGAGAAAAATTATTTTCAGTTTGAAAAATTTTTAAAAGGAACCAAAAAAAATTAAAAATATTTGAAAAAAAAATCGGACAAAAAAATTAATAATTTAACTGAAATTGAATTAGTTGATAGGAATCGAATAGTTTTGATCATAAATAAATCAGGCGGAGGCATGTCACAGGTTTTAATTATATGGTATAGGATTTCAAGTTACACAATTTATATGAAGACTAATCCAAACATCAGACAAATTTTTTTAATTATATAAATATTAGTTTATTATTGAGTTTGATACAAAAAGTAGCACTGCAACATTGATCTGATCATCGATCCAAACCTAAATAGTGAAAGAATGTATTTGGAAAAAAAAATTTGGTTTGAAAGAAAAAAACCAAACTGAAAAAGGAAAACGGAAAAAAAAATTTAAATTGGTTGGAAAAAAACCAAAAAAAAGTATTTAAACAATTTTGATTAAAATTTCATTAACCGGAATTGAATTAGATGTACAGTACAATATGACTTGCCAATCAAGCGAGTCTTAATTATAAAGAACATGGATCAGCAAATTATATAGAATATAGATGTTGTGCCTCAGATCGATTCTTGCCTCAGATTGAAGCTCACGCACCTCAGATTGAGATTGTCATCTTGACGCACCTCAATTGCTAATAAAAATGAGCTATAATTAAACATCAAAATTTCCAATTTTAATGTATTTTTAAGTACTAAGTAAACTTATTTATCCTTATTTTAAGTATACAATCCTATAATTTCAGATTAATTGGAATCATACTCATTAAATCTTTTCATCTGAAAAATGACTTAAAATTTAACGATTTTTCAGATAAAACACAAATATAAACTTCAATATAAATTGGATTTACATAAATATTTCAGGAAACATGTAACTCATTATGGCGCACAAGTTTGTTTATGTTACAAAAAGTGGTTTAATTAATGAGAAAAAAAGTTTATTTATAACAGACTTTATTGAATGATTCAAATGAGATGCGTCAGGTGACAATCTCAATGTGAGGTGCGTGAGCTTCAATCTGAGGCAAGAATCGATCTGAGGTACAACATAGATATAGGAGGGGAACTCTTTTCGGCGATCTCTTAACCAAATTTAATGAAGAAAAATAATTTTTTATTTTATTATTAAAGACATGTAATATGGACATGACAACAGAAATAAACGACAAAGAGGTCACGAAGTGGGTTAACGACAACAAGAAGACATATATGAAAGCGGATTTTGACCTTTTTTACAATATTTATGACTATTACTTAGAAGACGTTATGAAGTGCAAGAAAATAGAAGAATATATAGAGTTAGAAGAAAAGCTAATAGGGCTAACACTGTTTCAAAACCAGGAAAGATACCAGTATGCTTTAACAAACCAGAGACGAAAGTGCCTGTAGTGTACTATTTTGTATCTTTATTCCTAATAAAATGGGTGGGAAAAGCTATAAAGAATATAATAGAAGCAATATTATATGTTGAGAGAGTTGTTGCGCTTAAATATGAACAAATCAAAATGCAGAATGCAGAAATTTTGAAAAAAATAAAGAATTGGAAAAAAAACTGGCGGAAAGTAATTTGATAAATGGCTTGATGATCGCAAAATTGGAAAATAGAATTAGAAATTTAGAAGCTGACATGATCGCAAAGGAATGAATTATATTAGAGAAAAGTGAAGCAAATAATATTTTATAAGAAAAAATTAAAGTACTAGAAGTAAAAGAGGAAAAGCCATGTTAAGAGACAGATATGGATTTGGATAACAAGGTGCAGATAAAAAAAAAATGCCCTAACAAAAAGAGGAAATGGGCGTGAGCATAACAAAATAGTCAATGAGATAAAATTGGGAGCGATCAGAGATAATGATAAAGATCGTCTGGAAAAACATTTTGCTGAGAGATCATGTAAGGTTGCTTGTCTAAACCTCTTCAAAATCCTACGATTAGTTTCATCAAAATTTTACTATAGATTTATTATAGTTTCGGCAGAGTTTCGGCAATTTCGGCATTTATAATAAGTTTCAGCAGTTTCGCTTTTCTCCAAAGTTTCGCCAGTTTTTTAATATAACTTTAATATAGTTTCAGCAGAATTTTGCTTTTCGGCAAAACGCCATCTTGCCTAAACTCCTAGGTTTAAGCAAGCAACCTTAAGATCATGTGATATCACATTTTATGATATACCTGCATATTGGAGTGATATGGAAATTTTTGATTATTGAACGCAAATATGGGTTTCGTAGAATATATAAGGACTAAACGATGTTATAAGTACAAGACCTTTAGGTAACGCTGCGCTTTAGCAATGATTATGAAAAGATATACAAGAACTGTACTTTTTTCCTGAGGATGTTTGACTCGTATTTGTCGTATGGACAGATTAAAGACAAGTTTCATTGCAAGCTAGTAAATGATTAGAGAATGATAATCAGTGTGATAATGTGATAGTGATAAAAGATTTTGTGAAAACTTACCGTGCTTTTTTTGGAAAAATTATTAGAGTCAAAGGAATACGATTTATAATTTTGTATTTTAATAAAGAATTGGATTTAATGGATGCGATCAACGAATCTATAAAGTTACACAACATAGTACATGGATTATGGATAAAGAAACAAACTGATTTTATTGACAACAAAGGAGAACTGCAAGAACATATTGGAAGATTGAATTGTCAGAATAAAGCCTCAAAATCAAACGTTTAAATGGAGTGGGAATAACAAAGTGGGACATCTGATTTCGCTCTGTTGAGAATGCATAAACAATGGAGGTAAATAAAAACAAATAGAGAAAAAGGAAAAGAAAAATAAAAATTAAAAAAACACGTTAAAATAGTTAAAATTGATTTAAAAAATATTAGTTTAGTAAATAAAACAAAGGATAGCGTATTCAGATTAGTTAGTTTAGAATAGATTAGCATAGCGTTATAGTAGTTTAGTTAATACATAATTTTACTCGAAGTATTATAGTATCATTGGTTGTGTAAAATCATGCCCTGGTTAACTAATTCCTTGGCTTTGATATGAAGAGATTTAATAGCTTTATGTTGTTAAATTTCAATGTATTTTTGTTTTTGAAAATTTATTATGTATTATGATATGGCCTGCCGTAAGCACAAAAAGTATATACAAAAGTTATTATCTGAATATACAAAAGTTATTATTTGAATATACAAAAGTAATCATTTGAATATACAAAAATGTATATTCAAATAACAACTTTTGTATATTCACATGTATTAAAGTGGTCATTTGAATATACAAAAGTTGTTATCTGAATATACAAAAGTTATCATTTGAATATACAAAATTCAATATGCTATCAATTTGGCCAAATCTAGAATTAAAAAAAAATTACTGCTTAATTTGAAAATCTACTATATATTCAAATGATAACTTTTGTACATTCAAATGATAACTTTTGTATATTTAAATGATAACTTTTGTATATTCATATGTCAACTTTTGTATATTCAAATATTAACTTTATGTTATATATTCAAATGATAATTTTTGTGTATTCAAATGATAACTTTTGTATATTCAAATAACCACTTTTGTATATTCAAATGACTACTTTTATACATGTGAATATACAAAAGTGGTTATTTGAATATACAAAAGTTAATATCTGAATATACATTTTTGTATATTCAAATGATAACTTTTGTATATACTTTTTGTGCTTACGGCAGGCCATATTATGATGCGTTATAATTACTAATAAAGTCAATAAAATACGTTTATCAAA